TTGGAAACCTGCCACTTAGTGCCTAATCAAACAGGTTCTCTTAAAAGGCAGGGCCCTATTCCACATCTACTCACCCAGTCCTCACCCTCACAGCTCTCTTCCCCAGTCCTCACCCTCACAGCTCTCTTCCCCCATCCTCACCATCACAGCTCTCTTCCCCCATCCTCATCCTCACCATCACCATCACCATCACCATCACCATCACAATCTTTTTCTGATTAGGTTACATTTACTGATCGGCCTTTAACCTAAGAACGGGTCTTCCTATAACTCGGGCCAAGGAGAGATGGGAAGTAGACCCCCCTCAGGCACCGATGCAAGAATTTAAAACTGAAAATATAACAGGACTGGCTGAGCCTGTTGGAGGTTGTTTATCCCTACCAATCAAATCAGGGCTTATCAAAAGCTCTCATCATTGTGAACACCTCTGTATTAGATCTGCTTCAAGTTCCTGCATTGTTAATTACAGAAGTGCCAGTCCCTCTCATCTCTGTCGAGAACAAAAACCTCTGTCTCTGGGATATTGTTAGTGAATCGCTCATGTAGATCCTGATTGGAGCTCAGTGTTTGAACTGAGCCTAATCCAAAACCCACCATCTTATTCTGCTTTCATTTACATGTTATTAACGTGTCCTTCCATTTGTTAACAATTGTGTGGCTGAACTCCTGCTATACCCAGTCTTGTCGAATTTTTCTACTTACTCCAAACATATCTCACCTTAAATGTATTTTTCTGCCTGAAATCCCACCTGCCGGATCTGTTACTTGGTCGTTCGGTATCCGGTTGAAGTATTTACGGTCGCCTTCACAGGTTAATCATTATGTTGTTTCTGAGCCGTCTGCAAGTTTTGGGTTTAGAAAGCGAATTGTGTGAACACGGAAAACCCGTCCCAACACTGTCCCCTACAGCCCACCACTGTCTACACCGCCCAATCTGCAAAACAATAGTTAACACGAGACAAACCTTTTACACACACAGCTACAAACTGTTTTTAAAAAGTGCCGTTCATATGATTTTATTATAAAACAAACTATGTAGCATTTAATCAAATGCCTTTTGGGAATCCATACACAGTACCTCCATTACAATTCATTTATCGATAGACTCTGCTTCCTTATTACTACAACATAGCTAGGCAAAACCAGTGCATCATTGCAGAAATCTGACTGTGCTGAGTGCTCGAGACAACAAGGTGCAGGGCTGGATGAACACAGCAGGCCAAGCAGCATCATAGGAGCAGAGAGGCTATCTCTGTGCTGAGTGCTCTATTGATTCACAATCACATTATTTCTTTCTTGTTATTCACTCACGGGATGAGGGTGTCACTGGCTAGGCAGCATTTATTGTCCATCCTTAAATGCCCAGAGGGCAGTTAAGGGTCAACCACATTGCTGTAGGTTAGGAGTCACATGAAGGCCAGACCAGGTAAGGATGGCAGTTCCCCTCCCTAAAGGACTTTAGTGAACCAGAGGTGTTTTTTTTTCAACAATTGAAATCATTATTAGATTTCTAATGCCAGATATTTTATTGAATTCAAATTCCACCGTCTGCCTTCGTGAGATTTGAACCCAGGTCCCCAGAACATTGTCTGGGTCAACAGTCCAGCGATAATACAACTAGGCCATCATCACCTTGAGTATTTTTCACTGAGTAGCAAATTCTAGGGTAGTTGTAGCAACACAACAATCTTCCAAATTCCCAACCACTTCTGTCTAGAAGGACAATGACAGCAGATACATGGGAACACCACCACCTTCAAGCTCCCCTCCAAGCCACTTACCATCCTGACTTGGAAATATATTGCTGCTCCTTCAGTCACTGTGTCAAAATCTTGGAATTCCCTCCCTAATAGCACTGTGGGTGTACCTACACAAAATGGACTGCAGCAGATTAGGACAGCAGCTCACTGCTGCCTTCTCAAGAGGCAACTAGGGATTGGCAATAAATGCTGGGCCCACCAGCAATGCCCACATCTCCTGAACTAATTTTCAAAAAATACAACAGCCAAATTAGCTTTAACCTTTATGCATTTGTCATTTCCAGCCTTGAGTACTGCAATGTTTGTCTTTCTGGCAACCTCCACCAGTATCAGCTCCAAATTGTTCAAATTCCATTTGTTTCCATCTCGTCCTGTCATCCTCATGTACTTTCACTGGCACCTCGCCCCCTAACCCCCACCTGTCTTCAAACCATTAAATTAACAATCCTGCTTCTCAAATCACTCCACCATATCTCTACAACCTCCTTCATCCTTTGGCCTTCCAACTCTGACCCCCCTCAGCCCCATCACTGTTGATAGAACGACTTTGACCCTACTCACTCCAAGACTCTGTCACCTTTTGACTTCTCTATCCGTCTGTCATTTCTCCCATCCTTGTTTCCAAGGGCTGGACCATTGGGTTGGTCTATGCTTATAGACCAAGTCCAGCAGTTATTTGCATTGCCTCCTATAGGACAGTTGACCAAGAAATTTGGCCCCGCTTACAGCTTGGCATTAGGCTTATTGGGAGGAGTGACCTGTTTGACCATGAAGTGTACCAATCTTCTGTGATTTGTGATTCATACACAGAGCTTCTGATTTAAAGGTATGAGCACTACCCACTGCACCATAGGGCCTCTCATTTCATTTCTCTAAGCTTTTCAAAAAATGTGTCTGAACCATCTTTTCTCCCGAGTCTCCAATCACTCCCACAGGATAACCTCGTCCGGAATATCTGTTTCTCAATGCCAGTCTAAAGTGCCATGGAAATTTTGTTTGTCACGTGTTGTTGATCTTTAATGATCATTTTTCAATACGTCTATTACTTCACTTTGCAAACCCACAATCTCTATGTCCTGAATGGAAAAGGGTAGGTAGCCGAAGATCAGAAACGCCATCACCTCCAGGTTCCCCACCGAGTGGCACACACCATTCTGGCTTGGATCTATACCGTTCCACTTCCAGTTTTGCTGGGTCAAAATCCTGGAACTCCCACCTTAATAGTGCTGCAGATATACCCACAGCACATGGACTAAAGAGGAACATGTTCTTAAAAGCAATAGTCTTGCTAACAATAGTTACATCCTCTGGAATCAATAGGAAAAAAATGGTTGAAGCTGTCATTTTCTATTGGTGGACCTTCCGTAGGGTCAGGGGAGATCTACCCACGTTGTGAGGTGAATATTGCAATGATGGTCCCTGCAGGCAGGCTGAGTTCCTAATCCATCAATAGCCAGAAAGGATGCCAATGCCTCTGCTGGCATCCAGAGAAATTCATCTAATCTGCCTCATTTATATGTCACTGACGTCTGGGTTGCTGTCAGCTCTTAATGTATAAATGTAGCAAAAATGATTCATGCACACAGCATCACTGTTTGTTATCATTTCAACCCTTGGGTCAGTAATTCCTCTTCTGTACTTTCTGATAGTTTCAAAGAGTACAAGGTATTATCAATCAATGTAAATGTGTAGCCTGCCCACAGGCTGACTCCAAAAAGGTGGATTAATGCATTGGAAATTTGAGAAAAAAATCTAGACCATCAAAAGACTCAGCAGTGATTTTAGACAGAAAGAGGAAGCATAAGTTCCAGAAGAAAGGATAAATGCCTTGGAAGGATAATAAAGACATGAGGGAGGATGATGGAGGAGAATATGCTGAGGAATGAGGTAAGAGGATGCTCATTATAAACACCATCAAAGACCCGTTGTATCAAATGGTCTGTTTTTATGCTGTGAATACAATGGAATTCCGTATTCACCCTTGACCTACCCTGACTTCTCCTTGAAAAAGGTCTCAATTTTAAAATCCCCTCAGTCTCAGTATCCTCCTCCAGGCTTTGAGGTTCCTGCTATCTCCCAATGCTGGCTTCCTGCACCTCCCCAGTTTCAGTCGCTACCTCTTTGGGGACAATGCTGCCAACTGCCTTGGACTCTCAGCTCCAGAATTCCCTACCTAAGCTTCTCCAGCCTATCTGTCCTGGTTTAAGATGCTCCTTAAAACCTGAAGACTGAGGACCGAGTGCCTGCAGTTGTTGAATCAGAAAGTTTTTTATTTGGACAAATCCAATTTTGTTTGTAAATTTCAGTCACCATTTCACTGAAATCTACACTTTATATTCTATAGCTTCTAGCTCCAGCATGGCTTTTAACAAGAGCAGTTGGGTTTATTTGAGTGTTTGGTTAGTGATTAAGATTTATTCCATTCCTATGGTTCAACATAACATGGCAACCGGTGGCAAGATTAATGAAACATGCAAAAAAAGTAAGTATATTACTGATAAAACAATTAAGTAGTTAATTAGAATACATTAAGGATGGCAGGATGGGTGATGTTTCATGGCTGTAGTGTGTGAGAGCTCCTGGAAAGCAGTTTTGTCCTGAAAAAATGAATCTGTGGTTAGTGTAAGAGATAATGAGCTAAAGCCTGAACAGCAGACACAGTGATGCATGAAGGAGGGGGTGTAAATTACCTGGTTGTTTTTGTACCTGGTGGCAGTCATACCTCTTAGAACGGGGTAATTTGGTTTGGTCAACATTCAGGGACAGGAGAGTGTGACTGCAAGTCAAAAAGGTACGACAACCCAGAGGACAAGAACATCAAACTTTACAACTGTCCGACACAGTTGAGATTCTTTCACCTTGAATGGTTGAGATGAGTTGGATGAGCAAAGTGACCATGGCACCTTGGTACTGAAAGCCGTCCAAGAGGGGGCAGCCAAAAGGAATGTAGGGATAGTAGGAGACACCGCAGTCAGGGGCATTGACACTGTCCTCAACAGCAAAGTGTGTGAGTGCAGACAGCTATGATGGGGGTTCAGGATGTCTGCTCTGGGCTGGAGAAAAAAACTGCAGTGGGAGAATCCATTGGTTGTGGTCTATAATGGGCACTAATGACATAGGAAGAATGAGGAAAGAGGTTCTGCATAGGCAGTATTTTAGGTCAATTAGCCTGACCTTAGTTGTTGATAAGATAATAGAGTCCATTGTGAAGGAGCAGATTTCTGAATACTTGGAAGTGCTTGGTAAAGTAGGGCAAAGTCAGCATGGTTTCATCAAAGCAAATCCATTAGAATTCTTTGAGGAGGTAACAAGCAGGTTAAACAAAGGAGAGCCAATGGATTACCTGAATTTCCAGAAGGCCTTTGACAAGGTGCCGCACAGGAGGCTGCTGGCTAAGATAAGGGCCCATGGTGTAGAGGCAAGGTACTAGCATGGATAGAAGATTGGCTGTCTGTCAGAAAACAGAGAGTGGGGTTAAAAGGGTCCTTCTCAGGATGGCAGCCGGTGACTAGTCAAGTTCCATCAACTATTCACTTTATACAATAATGATCTAGATGAAGGAGTGATGTGTGAGGAGAGAGGGAGTGAGATAGAGAAAAATAGAGAGGCTGTAGGGAGAGAGGGAGGGAGGGAGACTGAGGGAGGGAGGGAGACAATGAGATGGGGAAGGGGAGAGGGAGAGAAAAGGAAGGAGTGAGACAGAGGAAGGAGTGAAACAGGGGCAGGAGGGAGGGAGACAGCGGGAGGAGGGATGGAATGAGACAGAAGGCGGAGTGAGGGAGAGAGAAGGAGGGAGGGAGACAGAGGAAGGGAGGCAGGGGGAGGAGGGAGGGATGGAGAGAGGGAGAGGAAAGGAGGGAGGGAGAGAGAAGGAGGGAGAGAGACAGAGGCAGGGAGGCGGGGGAGGAGGGAGGGATTGAGGCAGGGAGAGTGAGGGAGATGTGGAGATGGGGTGGTGGGAGGGAGACAAGGGAAGGGAATAGGGGGAGGAGGAAGTGAGTGAGAGTGAGACAGAGAGGGGCAGCAGTCTGAGCCCCACAGGATCGGGCAGGATCTGGGGGAGAGGGCACGGTCCCAGAATGAAGCCCCCGGCCCCTCCCCGAACCTAACCCCTCTGCCACCTTCACCCTGGGCTGCACTGGGAAAACTTGGCTTCCATCAGTCGCTTTGCCATCTGCTCACAGTTCTGCTGGAAACATACCACTGAGGACTGGCATTTGTAATCAACAGTTCACCTGCCTGTGCATTGGAAACCTGCCACTTAGTGCCTAATCAAACAGGTTCTCTTAAAAGACAGGGCCCTATTCCACATCTACTCACCCAGTCCTCACTCTCACAGCTCTCTCCCCATCCTCATTCTCACAGCTCTCCCCATCCTCACTCTCACAGCTCTCACCCCATCCTCACTCTCACAGCTCTCTCCCCATCATCACTCTCACAGCTCTCTCTCCATCCTCACTCTCACAGCGCTCTCTCCGCATTATCACTCTCACAGCTTTCTCTCCATCCTCACTCTCACAGCTCTCTCCCCATCCTCACTCTCACAGCTCTCCCCATCCTCACTCTCACAGC